GTACGCTGTACGGTTACTTCACGTTTGTTATCTATAACTGGACGCATTTGGGGTAAAACTGACTAATACCTTCACAGCATGTTATCCCATTTCTAATAATCCTGAACTTTGAACCGCAGACTACTTGCGGTCGTGTAAGTCCTATGGAATGTATTGTCCAAAGTGCAATATTGTACGCAATGCTGTTGCCCGATGTCAATTCATAAAGTTCGCTCACTATTTTTAATACTCAACTTTTAACGCACCGCGCTTGTCGGAGCTGACGTAGCAGGTCAGTTGACAATGTCTTACGGGTCGGAGCACAGATGCAGACATGGCCGATGGAAATAAACTCGATCGTTCTGTCGTCGGTAGCAGGCACTTGGCTATCAATCGTGTCCGACTTCTGCTTGGCGCAGAAATGATAAATTTTTGATAAAAGTCGTATTCACGCTAGTTTGACGTGTTGTAGGATTCTAGCTGCCAACTGAGCCACAGCCATCAAACAGAGTGTGGGATTCTTGTCGTATAGAAATACTTAGATAGCGCTAAGAGCACTCACTGGATTGAGGGTACAAAATTCGGTATGCTATGGAAACCTAAACGGCGCTCGCCTTACAGTAGGGGTTCGATGTAACGAATACAAAGATGATGCGTGTAAAATAATCCCGTAATTGTAGGTCCACTGGATGGTACTGATTACTCCGCATTGAAGGGGGGTAATGTGATAATTGTACAAACAATAGTCAGTGATTGTTTATTGTTATTCTTTTTCACCTTTTTTGATGTAGAATACACACCCGCGAAATTCGAATTCCAATTCTGGTGTTCTTATTCCGAGTCGTGACTAGTTTGGGTGGAGTTCAATTATTTTCCGATTCAGAACATCATAATTGGCGTCGCAGTCAGCGTTTATTTCCAACTGAATACAACCATCGAATTCTTAAACGTAAATGCATCTCCCCGGGAGTTACAAGAATACATGGAGAGATTCGAGTTATGGTGGCTCACAAAGGATGACCTTCGCGAAGATCTTAAATCTCTCCACTTTTTAACTGTTATTGGACGAGAGGCGTATACGCTTCTAAAAAATCTGGCTTACCCACAGCTGCCATCGAAATTATCATATGACAAGTTGCGGGACCTCCTTTTATCTCACTTACTACCGGAAAATTTCGTGGTTGCCGAAAGAGTAAAATTCAACTTGCTGATCCGTCAACCTAATCAGTCTATTCGTGATTTTATTCTCCAACTTCAATCTCAAGCATCATCTTGTGCATTTGGAGAAAACTTGATGAATGTCTCAGAGATCGCCTAATTGCTGGAATAAATAATTCCGATTTATATCGTCAGCTCCTATCACTTCCATCGCCGACTTACAATCACGTAAAATCCATCTGTTTGCATTATCAGGATGTTTCTGATATTACAAGAAGCCAGACGACTGTTGATCATCAGGTCTTGTTTGGCTCAGCCAGTCGCCGAGTTCATGCTGAGAAGAGAAAACCGTGGCAAATCAACTCTTTCAAACCACACGGAATTAGTCTATCTCATGCACCGAGAAATTCAGACAGTTTAAAGTGTGGTCAAGCTGATAGAAAGATTGGACAATGTGTCTCTTGTGCAAAGTTGCATTCACGGTATACCTGCCCGCATCGGAATTCCAAATGTCATCATTGTGAGAAAGTTGGACATATTCATAGTGTTTGTCGTTAGTTCAGACTTTGTAATGTTGTGAAACAAGTTGATGATTCCACAGAGAACTTGCCCGACGATTTTCATTCGCTGACATTGGCTGTGAATACGAATGGCCATTTATACAACACTTTACGTTTCGGAAATGGTATGTCACATCGTTTCATTGTTGACACCGGTAGCGTAGAGTCTCTTATTTCTAAAACTAGTCTCGATCATCTGTACCCTGACGCTCAGCTTGATTCTACACTCATTACTATTGAAGGTATTACTGGTCATCCCATTCCGGTGATAGCATGTTGTACCTTACCAGTGCTAGATAAGCATTTGAAACCTGTCGAGTGTGAATTTGTTGTCATTCGTCAAGGCCCGTCCATACTCGGTCTTAAAGTTATGCAGGCACTTAAAATAAGTGTCAATTTTCTGTCACATACTGATACTGACACCCAAATTCGTGATTTATTACACGATTGTTCGGTTACCTCTGGTGGAATGAGAATTCCGCCTGTTAAGTTGGAAGTGGCTGGTGATCCAGTTTTCTGTAAACGACGTGTACTTCCACTTGGACTTAGAGAACCTGTTCGAAAGGTACTTATGTCTCTTTGTGAATCAGGAATTCTCGTCCCAGTACAAAGTG